TAATCCATAGGTTAATCCATAGGATAATCCATAGGTTAATCCATAGGTTAATCCATAGGATAATCCATAGGTTAATCCATAGGATAATCCATAGGTTAATCCATAGGTTAATCCATAGGATAATCCATAGGTTAATCCATAGGTTAATCCAATGGTTAATCCATAGGTTAATCCAATGGTTAATCCATAGGTTAATCCAATGGTTAATCCATAGGTTAATCCAATGGTTAATCCATAGGTTAATCCATAGGTTAATCCATAGGTTAATCCAATGGTTAATCCATAGGTTAATCCAATGGTTAATCCATAGGTTAATCCATAGGTTAATCCAATGGTTAATCCATAGGTTAATCCAATGGTTAATCCATAGGTTAATCCAATGGTTAATCCATAGGTTAATCCATAGGTTAATCCATAGGTTAATCCAATGGTTAATCCATAGGTTAATCCAATGGTTAATCCATAGGTTAATCCATAGGTTAATCCATAGGTTAATCCAATGGTTAATCCATAGGTTAATCCAATGGTTAATCCATAGGTTAATCCAATGGTTAATCCATAGGTTAATCCATAGGATAATCCATAGGATAATCCATAGGTTAATCCAATGGTTAATCCATAGGTTAATCCAATGGTTAATCCATAGGTTAATCCAATGGTTAATCCATAGGTTAATCCATAGGTTAATCCATAGGTTAATCCAATGGTTAATCCATAGGTTAATCCATAGGTTAATCCAATGGTTAATCCATAGGTTAATCCATAGGTTAATCCATAGGTTAATCCAATGGTTAATCCATAGGTTAATCCAATGGTTAATCCATAGGTTAATCCAATGGTTAATCCATAGGTTAATCCATAGGTTAATCCAATGGTTAATCCATAGGTTAATCCATAGGTTAATCCATAGGTTAATCCAATGGTTAATCCATAGGTTAATCCAATGGTTAATCCATAGGTTAATCTAATGGTTAATCCATAGGTTAATCCAATGGTTAATCCATAGGTTAATCCATAGGTTAATCCAATGGTTAATCCAATGGTTAATCCATAGGTTAATCCATAGGTTAATCCAATGGTTAATCCATAGGTTAATCCAATGGTTAATCCATAGGTTAATCCATAGGTTAATCCATAGGTTAATCCACAGGTTAATCCATAGGTTAATCCATAGGTTAATCCAATGGTTAATCCATAGGTTAATCCATAGGTTAATCCATAGGTTAATCCACAGGTTAATCCATAGGTTAATCCATAGGTTAATCCAATGTGTCTGTGTCACTTTGAAAGGATTACTGATAATCCATCATTGCATTTTTATGTAAAAAACAGAGATTTCATATTATTTTTATTTTTATTTTTATAAACCTCTCTAAAAGGTCAAATGTCACTTGTTTTGCATCAATCTTGATACAGGGTACTTATTATATGTTGTATTTTGGATTCCTAAAGCTTTTAGTCTGCTAACCCATCATCCAAGGGTGGTTTTCACTAGTAATGGGTTTTTTAGGCGGAGGTAAGAATTTACCTTTTTTTACAATGTTCCATCTGAATTGACTCTGACACAGAAACATCTATATTGATTCTGACACTTCTACATCCATCTCACAGATGGAACCTTGCTTTGAGAAAAAAGATTATTAATTTAACCCTTTTAGAAGTGAAGTTATAGTCATTTGTTCTGGGCATGTCATTTTCGAGCCTGAAACCTGAAAAACAGGCTCAGGGTTTAACTCAAGTTAAAGGAACCTCTACTCGGGTTAAAGGAACCTCTACTCGGGTTAAAGGAACCTTTACTCGGGTTAAAGCAACCTGAACTCAAGTTAAAGGAACCTCTACTCGGGTTAAAGGAACCTCTACTCGGGTTAAAGGAACCTCTACTCGGGTTAAAGCAACCTGAACTCAAGTTAAAGGAACCTCTACTCGGGTTAAAGGAACCTCTACTCGGGTTAAAGCAACCTGAACTCAAGTTAAAGGAACCTCTACTCGGGTTAAAGGAACCTCTACTCGGGTTAAAGCAACCTGAACTCAAGTTAAAGGAACCTCTACTCGGGTTAAAGGAACCTCTACTCGGGTTAAAGGAACCTGAACTCAAGTTAAAGGAACCTCAGGTTAAAAGAAACCCAACTCAAGTTAAAGGAACCTCTACTCGGGTTAAAGCAACCTGAACTCAAGTTAAAGGAACCTCTACTCGGGTTAAAGGAACCTCTACTCGGGTTAAAGGAACCTCTACTCGGGTTAAAGGAACCTCTACTCGGGTTAAAGCAACCTGAACTCAAGTTAAAGGAACCTCTACTCGGGTTAAAGCAACCTCTACTCGGGTTAAAGGAACCTCTACTCGGGTTAAAGCAACCTCTACTCGGGTTAAAGCAACCTGAACTTCAAGTTAAAGGAACCTCTACTCGGGTTAAAGGAACCTCTACTCGGGTTAAAGCAACCTCTACTCGGGTTAAAGCAACCTCTACTCGGGTTAAAGGAACCGCAGGTTAAATATATAACATGCTGACATTTTTTGCCAAATATCAGCATGTTCTCTCTTTTCATTTGTGTGAGTGTTGGTGACACACACACACACACACACACACACACACACACACACACACACACACACACACACACACACACACACACACACACACACACACACACAGATCATCTGCCTCTGACCTCATCACAGCTCACTCTGTGGTAACCATGACAACCAGAAAACAGGACAGACTGCTGCCTTCCTGCAGCTCACGACCAAATAAGGTCAACAGCTGAGAGCTACCCCCTCACCTGTTAGAGAGAGCTGCCCCCCCCCACCTGTTAGAGAGAGCTGCCCCCCCTCACCTGTTAGAGAGAGCTGCCCCCCCTCACCTGTTAGAGAGAGCTGCCCCCCCCCCACCTGTTAGAGAGAGCTGCGCCCCCACACCTGTTAGAGAGAGCTGCCCCCCCTCACCTGTTAGAGAGAGCTGCCCCCCCCCTCACCTGTTAGAGAGAGCTGCCCCCCCCCTCACCTGTTAGAGAGAGCTGCCTCCCCTCACCTGTTAGAGAGAGCCCCCCCCCCTCACCTGGAAGATGAGCACCTTGAATTGGTTCCTGTTCACCAGGTGGGCGTGGTTAGCCTCCAGCTTCCTCACCTGCACACCCTGACGCTCCATCTTATCCCTCACCTGAGAGAGAGACAGGTGAGACACACAGGTGAGACAGGTGAGAGACAGACAGGTGAGAGACAGACAGGTGAGACACTATGAGACAGGTGAGACACACAGGTGAGACAGGTGAGAGACAGACAGGTGAGAGACAGACAGGTGAGACTCACGGGTGAGACGGACAGGTGAGACACAGGTGAGACAGACAGGTGAGACTCACGGGTGAGACAGACAGGTGAGACACAAAGGTGAGACAGACAGGTGAGAGACAGACAGGTGAGACACACAGGTGAGACTCAAAGGTGAGACAGACAGGAGAGACAGACAGGTGAGACACACAGGTGAGACAGACAGGTGAGACAGACAGGTGAGAGACAGACAGGAGAGACAGACAGGTGAGACAGACAGGTGAGACACACAGGTGAGACAGACAGGTGAGAGACAGACAGGTGAGACTCACAGGTGAGACAGACAGGTGAGAGACAGACAGGTGAGAGACAGACAGGAGAGACTCACGGGTGAGACAGACAGGTGAGACACACAGGTGAGACAGACAGGTGAGAGACAGACAGGTGAGACACACAGGTGAGACTGCAGCAGGATGTAACAGGTGTATTACAGTGTGTCTCCATGGTTACCTCCTTCATGGTGACGGACAGCTTGCGGCTCTTGTCCAGCAGCTTGCTGACGGTGTTGGACGTGTGGCTGTGGCTCTTTGACAGTTTCGTCATATCAGCCTGGATCCCCCGCACCACACCCTCCATCTCCACCTGGTGCACCTGCAGGGACATCAGGTAACAGCCAATCAGATTCCAAAGCATCAGGGACCAGACGACAGCCAATCAGAGACCAGGGCATCAGGTAACATCAGGTAGCAGCCAATCAGAGACCAGAGCATCAGGGACCAGGGACCAGACAATCAGGGAGCAGAGCATCAGGGACCAGACAACAACCAATCAGAGACCAGACAACAACCAATCAGAGACCAGACAACAACCAATCAGAGACCAGAGCATCAGGGACCAGACAATGACCAATCAGAGACCAGACAACAACCAATCAGAGACCAGAGCATCAGGGACCTAACAATCAACACCAGAGGTTGCGCTAGACTTTTTTGCTGCCCGTCATTGTGACGGGCAGGCTCGTAACATTTCCGTCAAAATTCATTATTACCCGTTGGTCTGTACACAACTGTCAACGGGGGGGGGGGAGAGCACACTCGTGAACTGTCAACGGGGGGGGGAGAGCACGCTCGTGAACTGTTAGCACCAGTGTTATGCCGTGTTATGCCGTGTTATGCCGTGTTATGCCGTGTAATGCCGTGTTATGCCGTGTTATGCCGTGTTATGCCGTGTTATGCCGTGTAATGCCGTGTTATGCCGTGTTATGCCGTGTAATGCCGTGTTATGCCGTGTTATGCCGTGTAATGCCGTGTTATGCCGTGTTATGCCGTGTTATGCCGTGTAATGCCGTGTTATGCCGTGTTATGCCGTGTAATGCCGTGTAATGCCGTGTTATGCCGTGTTATGCCGTGTTATGCCGTGTTATGCCGTGTTATGCATGCCCACTGCACCTCGCGGGAGCGCGCCACAGCGTAAAGCATAACCTCCCAGACATTTCAATGATTTGTACGGCAAAGTTAGGTTTGGAAACAATATCATTTGCTTTTTGGCGGGCATGCATAACACCGGAGCCCCGCTGCGGGGAAGCTTTGGCGCTGTTCTGAGTTTGTTCCAATCTGTCAAAATGACGGATAGCAGCTCTGACTCTTGGTGAGAGCAGCTCTGACTCTTGGTGAGAGCCAGCAGCAGCTCTGACATGTCATAAAGATAGTTTGAATCTTTACTGATTTATATAATCAAAACTGTCTTGTGTACGCAGCACTTTAAGCTAACGCAGTAGCATGAATCTGTTTACAGACAGGAAGTGATCCTGCAGGGTTCTGGTTCTTCCTGTTGGACTTATTGGAAGAGGCTTAGGATAAAAGTAGCAGCTGAATGTTAAGAATCCTCTCAGAGTTTTCCTCTCAGCATTCATGAGACCAACATGTGAGGAATGCAGCGACGCAGCAACATCTGCAGGGCGTCAGCTGACTCCGACAGAAACAGATCCAGAAACAGATCCTAGACCCAGATCCCAGAAACTGATCTGAACCCAGAAACAGATCCCAGACCACCAACACCCGGAGACTGAAGTGAATCTGCTGTTTTCTGACTGCAGTCTGGTGTGCAGAGTCTTAGTAACGCACATCGGAGCGGCCTTCATGTTGTTTCTGTGGACTTAATCTGCTGTTTCCTGAGAGCTGTTTCTATAGGGAGAGTTTCTACAGACCTGAACTCGAGCCTGACTCAGAGTCAGCTACAGATATCCTGTCAGAGAGTTTCTATAGGGAGAGTTTCTACAGACCTGAACACTAGCCTGACTCAGAGTCAGCTACAGATATCCTGTCAGAGAGTTTCCACAGCCCTGAACACGTCACATGGCATATTTTCAGGGTGGGGTCTGGTTTGTAAAGTTTCCCTGTCTTTAGTTTAGTTAGTCCCCCCCCCCCCCCCCCCCTCACCTCCATCTTGTTCTGGTTCTCCTGCACGGCGTCCAGCATGTTGACCAGTTTGTCCAGCAGCGTGAGGACGGTGATGGCATTCACCGGACCCTGACCCAGGGCCTCGGGGTCCGAGGGGGGACTCAGCCCGGCCAGGGGACCGGGGGAGTCCAGCAGCTCCAGGCTGGGGGGGGGGAGCAGGTCCTGGCTCTGGTGGGGCTCCGTGGTCACCATGACGGATTGAGAGAGACTGACTGCTTCTGGGTGTGTGTGTGTGAGTGTGTGTGAGAGTGTGCTGCGCTCTGATTGGCCGCTCAGAGGAAACTTTCCTGTCCACACCTTTAACCCTTTCCCCCCCCTCTGCTGCCTCGGTGTTCCTGCTGCGTTACTGAGGCTGACTAACCAGAGAACAACACCACACACTCAGTTATACATCTATGATGTTGTCTATAATGTTGTCTATGATGTTATCTATAATGGTTCTATAGAAACACAAACAGGAAGTGAGTTTAGAGCTGAAAGGGTTAACTGCTGCAGCGGGGGGGGGGGGGGGGGGGGTTACCATGACGACGGGCGGGTCTGTTTGTGTGTGTAGAGAGAGGGGGGGATCCTTCCAGATGACTTCACCTCACAAACATGAGACTCAGATCCTCCCCCCTTTCCTCCCCCCTTTCCTCCCCCCTTTCCTCCTCCCCCCTTTCCTCCCCCCTTTCCTCACAGAACTTATACATGATATAATGTAACTCTTTATTTAACACTAGTTCCTAACCTATATATATATATATATATATATATATATATATATATATATATATATATATATATATTGTTCCCATAGTGTTGTTAGTATGATGGCTCCTCAGTGGTTCCTCAGTGGTTCCTCAGTGGCTCCTCAGTCAGTGGCTCCTCAGTGGCTTCTCAGTGGTGTGGTTCCTCAGTGGTTCCTCAGTGGCTCCTCAGTGGCTTCTCAGTGGTGTGGTTCCTCAGTGGTTCCTCAGTGGTTCCTCAGTGGCTCCTCAGTCAGTGGCTCCTCAGTGGCTTCTCAGTGGTGTGGTTCCTCAGTGGTTCCTCAGTGGCTCCTCAGTGGCTTCTCAGTGGTGTGGTTCCTCAGTGGTTCCTCAGTGGTTCCTCAGTGGCTCCTCAGTCAGTGGCTCCTCAGTGGCTTCTCAGTGGTGTGGTTCCTCAGTGGTTCCTCAGTGGTTCCTCAGTGGCTCCTCAGTCAGTGGCTCCTCAGTGGCTTCTCAGTGGTGTGGTTCCTCAGTGGTTCATCAGTGGCTCCTCAGTGGCTTCTCAGTGGTGTGGTTCCTCAGTGGTTCCTCAGTGGTTCCTCAGTGGCTCCTCAGTCAGTGGCTCCTCAGTGGCTTCTCAGTGGTGTGGTTCCTCAGTGGTTCATCAGTGGCTCCTCAGTGGCTTCTCAGTGGTGTGGTTCCTCAGTGGTTCCTCAGTGGTTCCTCAGTGGCTCCTCAGTCAGTGGCTCCTCAGTGGCTCCTCAGTGGCTCCTCAGTGGCTTCTCAGTGGTGTGGTTCCTCAGTGGCTCCTCAGTCAGTGGCTCCTCAGTGGCTCCTCAGTCAGTGGCTCCTCAGTGGCTCCTCAGTGGCTTCTCAGTGTTGTGGTTCCTCAGTGGTTCCTCAGTGGTTCCTCAGTGGCTCCTCAGTCAGTGGCTCCTCAGTGGCTTCTCAGTGTTGTGGTTCCTCAGTGGTTCATCAGTGGCTCCTCAGTGGCTTCTCAGTGGTGTGGTTCCTCAGTGGTTCCTCAGTGGCTCCTCAGTGGTTCCTCAGTGGTTCCTCAGTGGCTCCTCAGTGGTTCCTCAGTGGCTCCTCAGTGGTTCCTCAGTGGTTCCTCAGTGGCTCCTCAGTGGTTCCTTCGGCGCCACTCAATGACTTAGTATACTTGAAATAGTGGCTCTGCATCAGGTATACTCGACATTGAGAATCGGCCATGGTTTCCTCAGGTAGTGTCAGTGGAAACAGGAAGCTCCCAACACAATGTTGAAGGGGGGGGGGGCTTCCTTTAACTGTTATTGAGAGGGGGTCAGGAATGATTAAAATAACATGTGTTGAAAACATTTCTTAATTTTTTGTTTTAAGTTATGTTTTATTTTTTATGTTTAATACATTTTTTATACTTTTACATCTCATAAGGCTGATGAGGTTTAAAATAAAAACCCTATTCATATTTGTATATAATATATATTTATTTTAATATAATAAACGTGAATATTTGAACAACATATATTCCTGACTGTTACTCTTCTATGACCCACACTGGCCTCCAGGGGGCGCTGCTGTCTCTGCTGTGTTTATCACAGAAGAAGAAGAAGCGGCGGGTCATGTGATCTGTCTTTAGCAGCAGCGGATCAGCTGACTGCTGCTGCGGTTTATAAAACCATTAAATCATCTTTAATATTCTTTAATATTCTCTAATATTCTCTAATAATCTCTAATCTAAACCGGAGACATGTCGTTCATCACGGCCAACTGGAACCCGCTGGGAGAGGCTTTCTACCGGTCAGTGTGTTCCGCTTTACACCGGTTTACCTCCTGTAGCTGCTAGCTCCTGTAGCAACATGCTAACCGTGTGTGTGTGTGTGTGTGTGTGTGTGTGTGTGTGTGTGTGTGTGTGTGTGTGTGTGTGTGTGTGTGTGTGTGTGTGTGTGTGTGTGTGTGTGTGTGTGTGTGTGTGTGTGTGTGTGTGTGTGTGTGTGTGTGTGTGTGTGTGTGTGTGTGTGTGTGTGTGTGTGTGTGTGTGTGTGTGTGGTGTGTGTGTGTGTGTGTGTGTGTGTGTGTGTGTGTGTGTGTGTGTGTGTGTGTGTGTGTGTGTGTGTGTGCAGTAAGACAGAGCTGTATGAGATGTCCTGGTCTCTGAGGGACGGACTGAGAGACAGTCTGGTGGCTGCAGCGCCGTACGGAGGACCTATAGGTGACACACACACACACATTATATACACACACTGAGACGCACACCAACTCTCTAACTGTCTGTCTCACCTGTCTCTCTCTACCTGTCTGTCTCACCTGTCTCTCTCTACCTGTCTGTCTCACCTGTCTGTCTCTCTCTACCTGTCTGTCTCACCTGTCTCTCTACCTGCCTGTCTCTCTCTACCTGTCTCTCTCTACCTGTCTCTCTCTACCTGTCTCTCTCCACCTGTCTGTCTCACCTGTCTGTCTCTCTCTACCTGTCTCTCTACCTGTCTCTCTCCACCTGTGTCTCACCTGTCTGTCTCTCTCCACCTGTCTGTCTCACCTGTCTGTCTCTCTCTACCTGTCTCTCTCTACCTGTCTGTCTCACCTGTCTGTCTCTCTCCACCTGTCTCTCTCCACCTGTCTGTCTCACCTGTCTCTCTCCACCTGTCTGTCTCACCTGTCTCTCTCTACCTGTCTGTCTCACCTGTCTCTCTCTACCTGTCTGTCTCACCTGTCTCTCTCCACCTGTCTGTCTCACCTGTCTCTCTCCACCTGTCTCTCTCACCTGTCTCTCTCTACCTGTCTGTCTCACCTGTCTCTCTCTACCTGTCTGTCTCACCTGTCTCTCTCTACCTGTCTGTCTCACCTGTCTCTCTCTACCTGTCTGTCTCACCTGTCTCTCTCTACCTGTCTGTCTCTACTAGGGATGGGAACGATTAATTGAATATTCGAAATGATTCAGGTATTGGAATATGAGAATATTGTATTTTTTGGGAGGGGTGCCTAAATTGATAACATAAGATCAAATGGAATAATTCAATGTATACGACAGCTCAGTGTGTTTGGTCTAAAGGTGTGTTTTGCTCCGCTCACCGGTCCCTCACAGCGGGCAGAGCTGCAGGTGCTGATCTCTCTCTCTCTCTCGTCCGGTACTTCACTCGCGTTTATGTCCAAATCCATCAGATCTAGTTCTAACTAATGATATGGCTGCTGCCCCTCCCTACACGCAGATCACGCAGACTCAACCCTCATCTTATGCCCACATTCCAGCTGAGAGGGTCTTCTCTACAGCTGGCCTGATTGTGAATCGCCTCCGCACCCGCCTCTCCCCTGAGTAGACATGCTCATATTCTTAAAGAAGAATGAGTATTGAATAGCTGCATTCTGTGATAGGCCCTGTTACAGGTTGATCTCTGTTGTGATAGGGTTACGTTACCCTAACCCTGTTACAGGTTGATCTCTGTTGTGATAGGGTTACGTTACCCTAACCCTGTTACAGGTTGATCTCTGTTGTGATAGGGTTACGTTACCCTAACCCTGTTACAGGTTGATCTCTGTCGTGATAGGGTTACGTTACCCTAACCCTGTTACAGGTTGTTGATCTCTGTTGTGATAGGGTTACGTTACCCTAACCCTGTTACAGGTTGATCTCTGTTGTGATAGGGTTACGTTACCCTAACCCTGTTACAGGTTGATCTCTGTTGTGATAGGGTTACGTTACCCTAACCCTGTTACAGGTTGATCTCTGTCGTGATAGGGTTACGTTACCCTAACCCTGTTACAGGTTGATCTCTGTTGTGATAGGGTTACGTTACCCTAACCCTGTTACAGGTTGATCTCTGTCGTGATAGGGTTACGTTACCCTAACCCTGTTACAGGTTGTTGATCTCTGTTGTGATAGGGTTACGTTACCCTAACCCTGTTACAGGTTGATCTCTGTCGTGATAGGGTTACGTTACCCTAACCCTGTTACAGGTTGATCTCTGTTGTGATAGGGTTACGTTACCCTAACCCTGTTACAGGTTGATCTCTGTTGTGATAGGGTTACGTTACCCTAACCCTGTTACAGGTTGATCTCTGTTGTGATAGGGTTACGTTACCCTAACCCTGTTACAGGTTGATCTCTGTCGTGATAGGGTTACGTTACCCTAACCCTGTTACAGGTTGATCTCTGTTGTGATAGGGTTACGTTACCCTAACCCTGTTACAGGTTGTTGATCTCTGTCGTGATAGGGTTACGTTACCCTAACCCTGTTACAGGTTGATCTCTGTCGTGATAGGGTTACGTTACCCTAACCCTGTTACAGGTTGATCTCTGTCGTGATAGGGTTACGTTACCCTAACCCTGTTACAGGTTGTTGATCTCTGTCGTGATAGGGTTACGTTACCCTAACCCTGTTACAGGTTGATCTCTGTCGTGATAGGGTTACGTTACCCTAACCCTGTTACAGGTTGATCTCTGTTGTGATAGGGTTACGTTACCCTAACCCTGTTACAGGTTGATCTCTGTCGTGATAGGGTTACGTTACCCTAACCCGTTCTGTTGTTCCTGTATGATCCCTCTTTCATTTCAAAACCAAGTTATGTTTTAAGCATGAAAGCTGTCAACTGTTCAAACTGTGATCACCAGTTCAATACATTTGACAGATTCGACTTGGTTTCTATACTTATTTGAACATGTATTTATTTAGTTTTCAAAATTAAAAATGTTTTACATTTTTCTTTGCAAAATGTTTTCCCACATTTATTTTTTTATATTTTTTATAGGATATGTACATTTCGGTTAACCGTTTTTTTTGGGGATCGAATATTCAAATATACATTTGCTTTCAAATTCCCATCCCTAGTCTCTACCTGTCTGTCTTACCTGTCTCACCTGTCTCTCTCAGCTCTCCTCAGAGAACCTCACAGACGTTCCCCGAGTTCTCGTCCTCAGCTGGAGATTTATTCTGCATCTGGAGTCTCCATCGCCAGCTTCCCGGTAAACACCTGTCTGTCTCTCACCTGTCTCTCTCCTGTCTCTCTCTCACCTGTCTGTCTCTCACCTGTCTCTCACCTGTCTCTCTCTCACCTGTCTGTCTCTCATCTGTCTCTCACCTGTCTCTCACCTGTCTCTCTCTCACCTGTCTGTCTCTCATCTGTCTCCCACCTGTCTCTCTCTTACCTGTCTCCCACCTGTCTCTCACCTGTCTGTCTCTCACCTGTCTCTCTCCTCTCTCCCACCTGTCTCTCATCTCTCTCTCACCTGTCTCCCACCTGTCTCTCTCACCTGTCTCCTCTCACCTGTCTCCCACTTCTCTCACCTGTCTCTCACCTGTCTCCCACCTGTCTCTCACCTGTCTGTCTCTCACCTGTCTGTCTCCCACCTGTCTCTCTCTCACCTGTCTCCCTCTCACCTGTCTCTCACCTGTCTCCCTCCTGTCTCCCTCTCACCTGTCTCTCACCTGTCTCTCACCTGTCTCTCTCCTCTCTCCCACCTGTCTCTCATCTCTCTCTCACCTGTCTCCCACCTGTCTCTCTCTCACCTGTCTCCCTCTCACCTGTCTCTCACCTGTCTCTCACCTGTCTGTCTCTCACCTGTCTGTCTCACACCTGTCTCTCTCTCACCTGTCTCCCTCTCACCTGTCTCCCTCCTGTCTCTCACCTGTCTCCAGTGGAAGAGTGGTCCAGTGGTCCAGGTGGGCTGGACGGTGAGTGATGAGCTGCTATTGGTTCAGGAGGATGGATCGGTTCTGATCTACGACGTCTTCGGGACCTTCAAGAGACACTTCAGCATGGGACAGGTAACTCGCTTAACTAGTCTTTAACGAGTCTTTAACGAGTCTTTAACGAGTTCTTAACGAGTTCTTAACGAGTCTTTAACGAGTCTTTAACGAGTCTTTAACGAGTTCTTAACAAGTCTTTAACAAGTCTTTAACAAGTCTTTAACGAGTTCTTAACGAGTCTTTAACTAGTCTTTAACAAGTCTTTAACTAGTTCTTAACGAGTCTTTAACTAGTCTTTGACTAGTCTTTAACAAGTCTTTAACGAGTTCTTAACGAGTCTTTAACGAGTCTTTAACAAGTCTAACTAGTCTTTAACAAGTCTTTAACTAGTTCTTAACTAGTCTTTAACTAGTCTTTAACGAGTTCTTAACGAGTCTTTAACAAGTCTTTAACTAGTTCTTAACGAGTCTTTAACTAGTCTTTGACTAGTCTTTAACGAGTTCTTAACAAGTCTTTAACAAGTCTTTAACTAGTCTTTAACGAGTCTTTAACGAGTTCTTAACGAGTCTTTAACGAGTCTTTAACGAGTCTTTAACGAGTTCTTAACAAGTCTTTAACAAGTCTTTAACAAGTCTTTAACTAGTCTTTAACGAGTCTTTAACGAGTTCTTAACGAGTCTTTAACGAGTCTTTAACGAGGTCTTTAACGAGTTCTTAACGAGTCTTTAACGAGTTCTTAACGAGTCTTTAACGAGTCTTTAACGAGTCTTTAACGAGTTCTTAACGAGTCTTTAACGTGTCCTTAATGAGTCTTTAACTAGTTCTTAACTAGTCTTTAACGAGTTCTTAACGAGTCTTTAACTAGTTCTTAACTAGTCTTTAACAAGTCTTTAACAAGTTCTTAACGAGTCTTTAACGAGTTCTTAACGAGTCTTTAACTAGTCTTTAACGAGTCTTTAACAAGTCTTTAACGAGTTCTTAACGAGTCTTTAACTAGTTCTTAACGAGTCTTTAACTAGTTCTTAACTAGTCTTTAACTAGTTCTTAACGAGTCTTTAACTAGTTCTTAACGAGTCTTTAACATTACATTACTTTGCATTTAGCTGACGCTGACTTAACAAGTCTTTAACGAGTTCTTAATAGTCCTTAACGAGCCTTTAACGAGCCCTTAACGAGCCCTTAACGAGTCATTAACGTGTCCTTAACGAGCCCTTAACGAGTCATTAACGTGTCCTTAACGAGTCCTTAACGAGCCCTTAACGAGTCCTTAACGAGTCTTTAACTAGTTCTTAACTAGTCTTTAACTAGTCTTTAACGAGTTCTTAACGAGTCTTTAACTAGTTCTTAACTAGTCTTTAACAAGTCTTTAACAAGTTCTTAACGAGTCTTTAACGAGTTCTTAACGAGTCTTTAACTAGTCTTTAACGAGTCTTTAACGAGTCTTTAACTAGTTCTTAACGAGTCTTTAACTAGTTCTTAACTAGTCTTTAACTAGTCTTTAACTAGTTCTTAACGAGTCTTTAACTAGTTCTTAACTAGTCTTTAACTAGTCTTTAACTAGTTCTTAACGAGTCTTTAACTAGTTCTTAACGAGTCTTTAACATTACATTACTTTGCATTTAGCTGACGCTGACTTAACCTGTTTCACGCCTTCCCCCCGGTACCGGGCGGATAAACGCGTCATTTGCAGGAAACAACGTCTAAGGAATCTTAATATTGAATAAAACTATGAATGTGTTATATCCATGTAACGGGAAGAAACTCAGCTAACTGATCTTTTTAATTTTTTTTTTCAAAAAAACCCCACAATGCTAGCACTCAGCCTCTGAATTAGCCTCGATCGAAAAAACGGGACCGACAAAGGCACATAAACTCACTCAGAACTCCCTTATTACTTATCCTAGATGCACAACCAAACACTATTTTTTGGTGTCCTGGAGACACTGAATCTAACGGTGCCCACCTCAACACTCAGTGATAAACATTCGCGACGCTATCAACGAAAGCGTACATCATCACATGTGGAGCTAAGAAGCTAAACATGTAAATATGACTTACCTTGGTCAAAAGTGGTCTTCAATGGCATTAAAACGATAAAAAAACGATGCTGCAGTTAATCCATAGGTTCATCCTATGTGTCTGTGCCTTCTTTGAAATTATTTCTGATAATCCATAAGCAATACAACTGCGTTTTAGTTTCCAAACTCCAGAAGGAGACATTCCTCCAGTTTAGTTTCGCTTTCCACACGCGAAGCGGCAACATTTTTTCTTTACAATGTGTGTCTATGTGATTCTCCTCCTTCGATTCTATTGGCTCTAACGGTCACAAGGGTATGTCAACCAACCAGATCGAGCAAGGGGGGCCAGAGATAGGTCAAATCCACCCAAATGACCCCAGATGGCCCAGTTTTTTGGCTAAATCTCTCTAAAAAGGTCAAATTTCACTTGTTTTGCATCAATCTTGATACAGGGTACTTATTATATGTTGTACTTTGGATTCCTAAAGCTTTTAGTCTACTAACCCATCATCCAAGGGTAGTTTTCACTATCTGTAAAAAATAATTTTTGGACGGACACTATAATTTACAGTTTTTTACTATGTAAAATCTGAATTTTCTTTAAAATAAAAAACATTTATATTGATTCTGACACTTCTACATCCAACTCACAGGTTTATCATTACTTTGAGAAAAGATTATTAATTTAACCCTTTTAGAAGGGAAGATATGGTCATTTGTTCTGGGAATGTCATTTTCGAGCCTGAGACCTGAAAAACAGGCTCAGAGTGGAACAGGTTAACAAGTCTTTAACGAGTTCTTAAGAGTCCTTAACGAGCCTTTAACGAGCCCTTAACGAGCCCTTAACGAGTCATTAACGTGTCCTTAACGAGCCCTTAACGAGTCATTAACGTGTCCTTAACGAGTCCTTAACAAGCCATTAACGAGTCCTTAACGAGTCCTTAACGTGTCCTTAATGTACCCGTCTCGATGTGGACAATGCTCGTTGCCAAAAGTGCAATAAGAGGTTAGCATGTAAGGGCGGTAACACGAGCAATTTGTCTCAACAGCTACACATGGTGTCCCGTAATGTTCCTCCACCTCAAAAGGAAACATGCCCATGTACAGTAGGGTGAGACAGGTACTCTGTGGATGTACAGTAGGGTGAGACAGGTACTCTGTGGATGTACAGTAGGGTGAGACGGGTACTCTGTGGATGTTCAGTAGGGTGAGACGGGTACTCTGTGGATGTTCAGTAGGGTGAGATGGGTACTCTGTGGATGTACAGTAGGGTGAGACGGGTACTCTGTGGATGTACAGTAGGGTGAGACGGGTACTCTGTGGATGTTCAGTAGGGTGAGACGGGTACTCTGTGGATGTTCAGTAGGGTGAGACGGGTACTCTGTGGATGTTCAGTAGGGTGAGACGGGTACTCTGTGGATGTACAGTAGGGTGAGACGGGTACTCTGTGGATGTACAGTAGGGTGAGACGGGTACTCTGTGGATGTTCAGTAGGGTGAGACGGGTACTCTGTGGATGTTCAGTAGGGTGAGACGGGTACTCTGTGGATGTACAGTAGGGTGAGACGGGTACTCTGTGGATGTACAGTAGGGTGAGACGGGTACTCTGTGGATGTACAGTAGGGTGAGACGGGTACTCTGTGGATGTTCAGTAGGGTGAGACGGGTACTCTGTGGATGTTCAGTAGGGTGAGACGGGTACTCTGTGGATGTTCAGTAGGGTGAGACGGGTACTCTGTGGATGTTCAGTAGGGTGAGACGGGTACTCTGTGGATGTACAGTAGGGTGAGACGGGTACTCTGTGGATGTACAGTAGGGTGAGACGGGTACTCTGTGGATGTACAGTAGGGTGAGACAGGTACTCTGTGGATGTTCAGTAGGGTGAGACAGGTACTCTGTGGATGTACAGTAGGGTGAGACAGGTACTCTGTGGATGTACAGTAGGGTGAGACAGGTACTCTGTGGATGTACAGTAGGGTGAGACAGGTACTCTGTGGATGTACAGTAAGGTGAGACAGGTACTCTGTGGATGTTCAGTAGGGTGAGACAGGTACTCTGTGGATGTTCAGTAGGGTGAGACAGGTACTCTGTGGATGTACAGTAGGGTGAGACAGGTACTCTGTGGATGTTCAGTAGGGTGAGACAGGTACTCTGTGGATGTACAGTAGGGTGAGACAGGTACTCTGTGGATGTTCAGTAGGGTGAGACAGGTACTCTGTGGATGTTCAGTAGGGTGAGACAGGTACTCTGTGGATGTACAGTAGGGTGAGACAGGTACTCTGTGGATGTACAGTAGGGGGAGACAGGTACTCTGTGGATGTTCAGTAGGGTGAGACAGGTACTCTGTGGATGTACAGTAGGGGGAGACAGGTACTCTGTGGATGTACAGTAGGGTGAGACAGGTACTCTGTGGATGTTCAGTAGGGTGAGACAGGTACTCTGTGGATGTTCAGTAGGGTGAGACAGGTACTCTGTGGATGTACAGTAGGGTGAGACAGGTACTCTGTGGATGTTCAGTAGGGTGAGACAGGTACTCTGTGGATGTACAGTAGGGTGAGACAGGTACTCTGTGGATGTACAGTAGGGTGAGACAGGTACTCTGTGGATGTTCAGTAGGGTGAGACAGGTACTCTGTGGATGTTCAGTAGGGTGAGACAGGTACTCTGTGGATGTTCAGTAGAGTGAGACAGGTACTCTGTGGATGTACAGTAGGGTGAGACAGGTACTCTGTGGATGTTCAGTAGGGTGAGACAGGTACTCTGTGGATGTTCAGTAGGGTGAGACAGGTACTCTGTGGATGTTCAGTAGGGTGAGACAGGTACTCTGTGGATGTTCAGTAGGGTGAGACAGGTACTCTGTGGATGTTCAGTAGGGTGAGACAGGTACTCTGTGGATGTACAGTAGGGTGAGACAGGTACTCTGTGGATGTTCAGTAGGGTGAGACAGGTACTCTGTGGATGTTCAGTAGGGTGAGACGGGTACTCTGTGGATGTTCAGTAGGGTGAGACGGGTACTCTGTGGATGTTCAGTAGGGTGAGACAGGTACTCTGTGGATGTTCAGTAGGGTGAGACAGGTACTCTGTGGATGTACAGTAGGGTGAGACAGGTACTCTGTGGATGTACAGTAGGGTGAGACGGGTACTCTGTGGATGTACAGTAGGGTGAGACGGGTACTCTGTGGATGTACAGTAGGGTGAGACAGGTACTCTGTGGATGTTCAGTAGGGTGAGACAGGTACTCTGTGGATGTTCAGTAGGGTGAGACAGGTACTCTGTGGATGTACAGTAGTAACAGAGTTACTCCGGTTCTCTTTATACATGCATGGTCCTTACCTGTCTCTCTCTCTGTAAACAGGAAGTGGTTCAGTCTCAGGTGTTGGAGGCCCAGGTGTTCCACTCTCCTTATGGAACAGGGGTTGCCATAGTAACGGGTTCCTCACGATTCACCTTGGCAACCAACATCGACGACCTAAAGCTCCGGAGGTTACCTGAGGTCCCAGGTGAGGGTCCACCTACCTGTCTGTCTCTCTCTCACCTGTCTCTCACCTGTCTCTCACCTGTCTCTCACCTGTCTCCCTCTCACCTGTCTCTCCACTGTCTCCCTCTCACCTGTCTCCCTCTCACCTGTCTCCCTCTCACCTGTCTCCCTCTCACCTGTCCCCCTCTCAACTGTCTCCCTCTCACCTGTCTCCCTCTCACCTGTCTCCCTCTCACCTGTCTCTCACCTGTCCCCCTCTCACCTGTCTCCCTCTCACCTTTATCCCTCTCACCTGTCTCCCTCTCACCTGTCTCACCTGTCTCCCTCTCACCTGTCTCCCTCTCACCTGTCTCCCTCTCACCTGTCTCCCTCTCACCTGTCCCCCTCTCACCTGTCTCCCTCTCACCTGTGTTCTCCAGGTCTCCAGGGGAAGCCTGTCTGCTGGTTGGTTCTGACCCAGGACCGGCAGACTAAAGTCCTGCTGTCCACCGGACCGGATCTCTACATCCTGGACAACACATCCTGCACCGCGGTGGTGAGACGGTCAGAGACACAGACAGGTACACAGACAGGTGAGACACGTCACTAACTACCTGTCTGTCTCTCAGAGTCCTCCAGGTCTGGGTCCTCAGTCTGGCAGCATCATCCACATGTCCGTCTCCTTCAGCTACAAATACCTGGCTCTGTTCACAGAGACCGGACACCTGTGGACAGGCCCCTCCCACCTTCAGGTGAGCGACCAATTAGTGGCCTGATCTGACAGGGGTGAGGGGGCGGGGCGGTGATTAACAGGTGGTGCGGGGGCGGCGCGATTGTCTGTGTTATTGACAGGTAGTGAGGGGGTGGAGTCTTTGTGATTGACAGGTGGTGAGGGGGTGGACTCTGTGTTATTGACAGGTAGTAAGGGGGTGGAGTCTTTGTGATTGACAGGTGGTGAGGGGGTGGACTCTGTGTTATTGACAGGTGGTGAGGGGGTGGAGTCTTTGTGATTGACAGGTCGTGAGGGGGTGGACTCTGTGTTATTGACAGGTGGTGAGGGGGTGGACTCTGTGTTATTGACAGGTGGTGAGGGGTGGACTCTGTGTTATTGACAGGTGGTGAGGGGGTGGAGTCTGTGTGATTGACAGCTCGTGAGGGGGTGGACTCTGTGTTATTGACAGGTGGTGAGGGGGTGGACTTTGTGTTATTGACAGGTAGTGAGGGGGTGGAGTCTGTGTTGACAGATGGTGAGGGGGTGGAGTCTGTGTGATTGACAGGTCGTGGGGGGGTGTGGTCTGTGTGGGTGATTGACAGGTTGTGAGGGGGTGGGGTCTGTATGGGTGATTTACAGGAGGTGAGGGGGTGGGGTCTGTGTGGGTGATTGACAGGTGGTGAGGGGGCGGGGTCTGTATGATTGACAGGTGCTTCTGTGTCTGCAGGACAAACTGAATGAAGTGGACACCAAGAACACAAAGCCCCCCCAACAGATGGTCTGGTACGTACCTGTCTGTCTACCTGTCTGTCCTCTCACCTTTCTCACTTGTCTCACCCTCTGTACCTGTCTATACCTGTCCAGGTGTCGCAGGCCAAAGAGTCAGCAGCCGTCTGTGGTTCTGCTGTGGGACAAACTGCTGATGGTGGTTGGAGTCCGTCAGGACAACATCCAGTATCCTTTAGACCATTTCAGAATAGAACCACAAACCAGTTTGGACCGGAACTCATTAGGGTACCTGGACCTTGTAGGGTCCTCCTGGACCTCATTAGGGTTCTCCTGGACCTTGTAGAGTCCTCCTGGACCTCATTAGGGTTCTCCTGGACCTTGTAGAGTCCTCCTGGACCTCATTAGTGTTTTCCTGGATCTTGTAGAGTCCTCCTGGACCTCATTAGGGTTCTCCTGGACCTTGTAGAGTCCTCCTGGACCTCATTAGCGTCCTCCTGGACCTTGTAGGGTTCTCCTGGACCTCATTAGGGTTCTCTTGGACCTCATTAGGGTTCTCCTGGACCTCATTAGGGTTCTCCTGGACCTCAGTAGGGTTCTCCTGGACCTTGTAGAGTCCTCCTGGACCTCATTAGTGTTTTCCTGGATCTTGTAGAGTCCTCCTGGACCTCATTAGGGTTCTCCTGGACCTTGTAGAGTCCTCCTGGACCTCATTAGGGTCCTCCTGGACCTTGTAGGGTTCTCCTGGACCTCATTAGGGTTCTCCTGGACCTCATTAGGGTTCTCCTGGACCTTGTAGAGTCCTCCTGGACCTCATTAGTGTTTTCCTGGATCTTGTAGAGTCCTCCTGGATCTCATTAGGGTTCTCCTGGACCTTGTAGAGTCCTCCTGGACCTCATTAGGGTCCTCCTGGACCTCAGTAGGGTTCTCCTGGACCTCATTAGGGTTCTCTTGGACCTCATTAGGGTTCTCCTGGACCTCATTAGGGTTCTCCTGGACCTCAGTAGGGTTCTCCTGGACCTTGTAGAGTCCTCCTGGACCTCATTAGGGTCCTCCTGGACCTTGTAGAGTCCTCCTGGACCTCATTAGGGTCCTCCTGGACCTTGTAGGGTTCTCCTGGACCTCAGTAGGGTTCTCCTGGACCTCATTAGGGTTCTCCTGGACCTTGTAGGGTTCTCCTGGACCTCAGTAGGGTTCTCCTGGACCTCATTAGGGTTCTCCTGGACTTCAGTAGGCTTCTCCTGGAGCTCTTTAAGCTTCTTGTTGTTTTAATGGTTCTCTGGTTCTCCGCTGTGAACCTTGACCTCTGACCAGGTTCCCGATAGAGGAACCCTGTGTTCTGGTGGGAGAATTGGACGGGGTCCGGATCCTCAGCTCCTCTCAGCAGGAACTCCTTCAGGAGGTTCCTCTCGTCTGTCAGGAGATCTTCAAGATTGCCTCCATGGCTCCTGGAGCTCTTTTGCTGGAGGCCCACCGGGAGTACCAGGTACCTGTCTGTCTGACTGTCTGTCTGACTGACTGACTGACTGTCTGTCTGACTGACTGACTGTCTCTCTGTCTAACTGTCTGACTGACTGTCTGTCTGACTGACTGACTGACTCTCTGTCTGACTGACTCCCTGTCTGTCTGTCTGACTGACTCCCTGTCTGACTGACTCCCTGTCTGACTGTCTCTCTGTCTGACTGACTCCCTGTCTGTCTGTCTGTCTGACTGACTCTCTGTCTGACTGACTCCCTGTCTGACTGTCTCTCTGTCTGACTGACTGACTGACTCTCTGTCTGACTGACTCCCTGTCTCTCTGTCTGACTGACTCCCTGTCTGACTGACTCCCTGTCTGACTGACTCCCTGTCTGACTGTCTCTCTGTCTGACTGACTCCCTGTCTGTCTGTCTGTCTGACTGACTCCCTGTCTGACTGACTCCCTGTCTGACTGTCTCTCTGTCTGACTGACTCCCTGTCTGTCTGTCTGTCTGACTGTCTGTCTGTCTGACTGACTCCCTGTCTGACTGACTCCCTGTCTGACTGACTCCCTGTCTGACTGACTCTCTGTCTGACTGACTCTCTGTCTGACTGACTCTCTGTCTGACTGTCTCTCCGTCTGATCGTCTACCTGTCTGACTATCTACCTGTCTGACTGACTGTCTGTCTGACTGTCTACCTGTCTGACTGTCTCTCCGTCTGATCGTCTACCTGTCTGACTATCTACCTGTCTGTCTGACTGTCTGTCTGACTCTCTTTCTGTCTGACTGTCTGCCTTTCTGACTGTCTCTCTGTCTGACTGTCTACCTGTCTGTCTGAGTGTCTACCTGTCTGACTGTCTACATGTCTGACTGTCTACCTGTCTGACTGTCTACCTGTCTGACTGTCTCTCTGTCTGACTGTCTACCTGTCTGTCTGAGTGTCTACCTGTCTGACTGTCTACATGTCTGACTGTCTACCTGTCTGACTATCTACCTGTCTGTCTGACTGTCTACCTGTCTTGACTGTCTGCCTTTCTGTCTGACTGTCGGTCTGACTGTCTACCTGTCTGACTGTCTACCTGTCTGACTGTCTCTCTGACTGTCTACCTGTCTGTCTGAGTGTCTACCTGTCTAACTGTCTCTGTCTGAGTGTCTACCTGTCTGACTGACTGTCTACCTGTCTTAACTGTCTGCCTTTCTGTCTGACTGTCGGTCTGACTATCTACCTGTCTGTCTAACTCTCTTTCTGACTGACTGTCTACCTGTCTGACTGTCTACCTGTCGGTCTGACTGTCTACCTGTCAGTCTGACTGTCTACCTGTCTGTCTGACTGTCTACCTGTCTTGACTGTCTACCTGTCTGTCTGACTGTCTACCTGTCTTGACTGTCTACCTGTCTGTCTGACTGTCTACCTGTCTGACTATCTACCTGTCTGTCTGACTCTCTTTCTGACTGACTGTCTACCTGTCTGACTGTCTACCTGTCGGTCTGACTGTCTACCTGTCGGTCTGACTGTCTACCTGTCTGTCTGACTGTCTACCTGTCTTGACTGTCTACCTGTCTGTCTGACTGTCTACCTGTCTTGACTGTCTACCTGTCTGTCTGACTGTCTACCTGTCTGACTATCTACCTGTCTGTCTGACTCTTTCTGACTGACTGTCTACCTGTCTGACTGTCTACCTGTCGGTCTGACTGTCTACCTGTCGGTCTGACTGTCTACCTGTCTGTCTGACTGTCTACCTGTCTGTCTGACTGTCTACCTGTCTGACTATCTACCTGTCTGTCTGACTCTCTTTCTGACTGACTGTCTACCTGTCTGACTGTCTACCTGTCGGTCTGACTGTCTACCTGTCTGTCTGACTGTCGACCTGTCTGACTATCTACCTGTCTGTCTGACTCTCTTTCTGACTGACTGTCTACCTGTCTGACTGTCTACCTGTCGGTCTGACTGTCTACCTGTCTGACTGTCTCTCTGTCTGTCTGACTGTCTACCTGTCTGTCTGAGTGTCTACCTGTCTAACTGTCTCTGTCTGAGTGTCTACCTGTCTGACTGTCTACCTGTCTTGACTGTCTGCCTTTCTGTCTGACTGTCGGTCTGACTATCTACCTGTCTGTCTAACTCTCTTTCTGACTGACTGTCTACCTGTCTGACTGTCTACCTGTCGGTCTGACTGTCTACCTGTCGGTCTGACTGTCTACCTGTCTGTCTGACTGTCTACCTGTCTTGACTGTCTACCTGTCTGTCTGACTGTCTACCTGTCTTGACTGTCTACCTGTCTGTCTGACTGTCTACCTGTCTGACTATCTACCTGTCTGTCTGACTCTCTTTCTGACTGACTGTCTACCTGTCTGACTGTCTACCTGTCGGTCTGACTGTCTACCTGACTGTCTACCTGTCTTGACTGTCTGCCTTTCTGTCTACCTGTCTGTCTGACTCTCTTTCTGACTGACTGTCTACCTGTCTGACTGTCTACCTGTCGGTCTGACTGTCTACCTGTCTGTCTGACTGTCTACCTGTCGGTCTGACTGTCTACCTGTCTGTCTGACTGTCTACCTGTCTGTCTGACTGTCTACCTGTCGGTCTGACTGTCTACCTGTCGGTCTGACTGTCTACCTGTCTGACTGTCTACCTGTCTGTCTGACTGTCTACCTGTCGGTCTGACTGTCTACCTGTCTGTCTGAGTGTCTACCTGTCTGACTGACTGTCTACCTGTCTTGACTGTCTGCCTTTCTGTCTGACTGTCGGTCTGACTATCTACCTGTCTGTCTAACTCTCTTTCTGACTGACTGTCTACCTGTCTGACTGTCTACCTGTCGGTCTGACTGTCTACCTGTCTGTCTGACTGTCTACCTGTCTTGACTGTCTACCTGTCTGTCTGACTGTCTACCTGTCTGACTATCTACCTGTCTGTCTGACTCTCTTTCTGACTGACTGTCTACCTGTCTGACTGTCTACCTGTCGGTCTGACTGTCTACCTGTCGGTCTGACTGTCTACCTGTCTTGACTGTCTACCTGTCTGTCTGACTGTCTACCTGTCTTGACTGTCTACCTGTCTGTCTGACTGTCTACCTGTCTGACTATCTACCTGTCTGTCTGACTCTCTTTCTGACTGACTGTCTACCTGTCTGACTGTCTACCTGTCGGTCTGACTGTCTACCTGTCGGTCTGACTGTCTACCTGTCTGACTGTCTCTCTGTCTGTCTGACTGTCTACCTGTCTGTCTGAGTGTCTACCTGTCTAACTGTCTCTGTCTGAGTGTCTACCTGTCTGACTGTCTACCTGTCTTGACTGTCTGCCTTTCTGTCTGACTGTCGGTCTGACTATCTACCTGTCTGTCTAACTCTCTTTCTGACTGACTGTCTACCTGTCTGACTGTCTACCTGTCGGTCTGACTGTCTACCTGTCGGTCTGACTGTCTACCTGTCTGTCTGACTGTCTACCTGTCTTGACTGTCTACCTGTCTGTCTGACTGTCTACCTGTCTTGACTGTCTACCTGTCTGTCTGACTGTCTACCTGTCTGACTATCTACCTGTCTGTCTGACTCTCTTTCTGACTGACTGTCTACCTGTCTGACTGTCTACCTGTCGGTCTGACTGTCTACCTGACTGTCTACCTGTCTTGACTGTCTGCCTTTCTGTCTACCTGTCTGTCTGACTCTCTTTCTGACTGACTGTCTACCTGTCTGACTGTCTACCTGTCGGTCTGACTGTCTACCTGTCGGTCTGACTGTCTACCTGTCTGACTGTCTACCTGTCGGTCTGACTGTCTACCTGTCTGTCTGACTGTCTGTCTGTCTGTCTGACTGTCTACCTGTCTGTCTGACTGTCTACCTGTCTGACTGTCTACCTGTCTGTCTGACTGTCTACCTGTCTGTCTGACTGTCTACCTGTCGGTCTGACTGTCTACCTGTCGGTCTGACTGTCTACCTGTCTGTCTGACTGTCTACCTGTCTGTCTGACTGTCTACCTGTCGGTCTGACTGTCTACCTGTCTGACTGTCTACCTGTCGGTCTGACTGTCTACCTGTCGGTCTGGCTGTCTACCTGTCGGTCTGACTGTCTACCTGTCTGACTGTCTCTCTGTCGGTCTGACTGTCTACCTGTCGGTCTGACTGTCTACCTGTCGGTCTGACTGTCTACCTGTCTGACTGTCTACCTGTCGGTCTGACTGTCTACCTGTCTGACTGTCTACCTGTCGGTCTGACTGTCTACCTGTCTGACTGTCTACCTGTCTGACTGACTGTCTACCTGTCTGTCTGACTGTCTACCTGTCTGACTGTCTACCTGTCGGTCTGACTGTCTACCTGACTGACTGTCTACCTGTCTGACTGTCTACCTGTCTGACTGTCTACCTGTCTGACTGTCTACCTGTCTGACTGTCTCTCTGTCTGTCTGACTGTCTACCTGTCGGTCTGACTGTCTACCTGTCGGTCTGACTGTCTACCTGTCTGACTGTCTACCTGTCGGTCTGACTGTCTACCTGTCTGACTGTCTACCTGTCTGTCTGACTGTCTACCTGTCTGTCTCTCTGTAGAAGTCCAGTCAGAAGGCTGATGAGTACCTGAGGGAGATAAAGGAGCAAAGCATGCTGGGAGAAGCAGTCCGTCAGTGTGTGGAGGCGGCAGGACACGAGTACGACTCCATTACCCAGAAGGACCTGCTCAGGGTGAGTTCTATCTCAGGTATAAATCTGTGTTGTTGTTCTCTAGTAGAACCGTGTTTGTTGTAATTTGTTGTTCCGAATTGTTGTTCTGTATTATTGTTGTGCTTTGTTGTTGTTCTGAGTTGTTGTTCTGAGTTGTTGTTCTGAGTTGTTGTTGTTGTTCTGAGTTATTGTTCTGTGTTGTAGGCAGCGTCCTTTGGGAAGTGCTTCCTGACGGACTTTGTTCCCGACCCGTTTGTTCTGACCTGCAGAGAGCTGAGGGTTCTGAACTCAGTGAGAGAGAGCAGCGTGGGTCTGCCTCTCACCCACACTCAGTATCCTCTAACACAGGTGCATCATGGGAACTGTAGTCTGTTACCTGTAGTTAGCCTCATTTATAGTGCATCATGGGAACTGTAGTCTGTTACCTGTAGTTAGCCTCATTTATAGTGCATCATGGGAACTGTAGTCTGTTACCTGTAGTTAGCCTCATTTATAGTGCATCATGGGAACTGTAGTCTGTTACCTGTAGTTAGCCTCATTTATAGTGCATCATGGGAACTGTAGTCTGTTACCTGTAGTTATCCCCACTGATGTACAGTATCATCTAACACAGGTGCATCATGGGACATGTAGTCCGTTACCTGCAATTATCCCCACTGACGTACAGTATCGTCTAACAAAGGGCATCATGGGAACTGTAGTCCGTTACCTGTAGTTAACCCCACTGACGTACAGTATCGTCTAACAAAGGGCATCATGGGAACTGTAGTCCGTTACCTGTAATTATCCCCACTGACGTACAGTATCGTCTAACACAGGGCATCATGGGAACTGTAGTCCGTTACCTGCAATTATCCCCACTGACGTACAGTATCGTCTAACACAGGGCATCATGGGAACTGTAGTCCGTTACCTGTAGTTAACCCCAATGACGTACAGTATCGTCTAACAAAGGGCATCATGGGACATGTAGTCCGTTACCTGTAGTTAACCCCACTGACGTACAGTATCGTCTAACAAAGGGCATCATGGGACATGTAGTCCGTTACCTGTAGTTAACCCCACTGACGTACAGTATCGTCTAACAAAGGGCATCATGGGAACTGTAGTCCGTTACCTGCAATTATCCCCACTGACGTACAGTATCGTCTAACACAGGGCATCATGGGAACTGTAGTCCGTTACCTGTAGTTAACCCCACTGACGTACAGTATCGTCTAACAAAGGGCATCATGGGACATGTAGTCCGTTACCTGTAGTTAACCCCACTGACGTACAGTATCGTCTAACAAAGGGCATCATGGGACATGTAGTCCGTTACCTGTAGTTAACCCCACTGACGTACAGTATCGTCTAACAAAGGGCATCATGGGAACTGTAGTCCGTTACCTGCAATTATCCCCACTGACGTACAGTATCGTCTAACACAGGGCATCATGGGAACTGTAGTCCGTTACCTGTAGTTAACCCCACTGACGTACAGTATCGTCTAACAAAGGGCATCATGGGAACTGTAGTCCGTTACCTGCAATTATCCCCACTGACGTACAGTATCGTCTAACACAGGGCATCATGGGAACTGTAGTCCGTTACCTGTAGTTAACCCCACTGACGTACAGTATCGTCTAACAAAGGGCATCATGGGACATGTAGTCCGTTACCTGTAGTTAACCCCACTGACGTACAGTATCGTCTAACAAAGGGCATCATGGGACATGTAGTCCGTTACCTGTAGTTAACCCCACTGACGTACAGTATCGTCTAACAAAGGGCATCATGGGAACTGTAGTCCGTTACCTGCAATTATCCCCACTGACGTACAGTATCGTCTAACACAGGGCATCATGGGAACTGTAGTCCGTTACCTGTAGTTAACCCCACTGACGTACAGTATCGTCTAACAAAGGGCATCATGGGAACTGTAGTCCGTTACCTGCAATTATCCCCACTGACGTACAGTATCGTCTAACAAAGGGCATCATGGGAACTGTAGTCCGTTACCTGCAATTATCCCCACTGACGTACAGTATCGTCTAACAAAGGGCATCATGGGAACTGTAGTCCGTTACCTGTAGCTAGCCTCACTCACAGGTGCATCATGGGACATGTAGTGCAGTCTGTTACCTGTAGTGATGTCATCACCTGATGCAATTTGATCCTTGACCTCTGACCTCAGATTCAAACAGATGACTCTCCAGGTGCTAATAGACAGGTGAGTCCAACCTGTCTGTCTCTACCTGTCTGTCTCTACCTTTCTGTCTCTCACCTGTCTGTCTCTACCTGTCTGTCTCTACCTGTCTGTCTCTACCTTTCTGTCTCTCACCTGTCTGTCTCTCACCTGTCTGTCTCTCACCTGTCTGTCTCTCACCCGTCTGTCTCTCACCTGTCTGTCTCTTACCTGTGTGTCTATACCTGTCTGTCTCTACCTGTCTGTCTCTACCTGTCTGTCTCTACCTTTCTGTCTCTCACCTGTCTGTCTCTACCTGTCTGTCTCTACCTGTCTGTCTCTACCTTTCTGTCTCTCACCTGTCTGTCTCTACCTGTCTGTCTCTCACCTGTTTGTCTCTACCTGTCTGTCTCTTACCTGTGTGTCTCTACCTGTCTGTCTCTCACCTGTCTGTCTCTTACCTGTGTGTCTCTACCTGTCTGTCTCTCACCTGTCTGTCTCTACCCGTCTGTCTCTTACCTGTGTGTCTATACCTGTCTGTCTCTCACCTGTGTGTCTCTACCTGTCTGTCTCTCACCTGTCTCTCTTACCTGTGTGTCTCTCAGGTTGGTGTACAGACAGTTTTACCCATTAGCGATAGAGATCTGTCGTTACCTGAAGATTCCAGATTACCAGGGAGTCAGCCGAGTCCTCAAACACTGGGCCTCCTGCAAGGTAACCTGTCTCACTGCCTCTCTCAGTCCCCTGTCTCTCTGTCTCTCTCAGTCCCCTGTCTCTCTGTCTCTCTCAGTCCTCTGTCTCTCTCAGTCCTCTGTCTCACTGTCTCTCTCAGTCCTCTGTCTCACTGTCTCTCTCAGTCCTCTGTCTCACTGTCTCTCTCAGTCCTCTGTCTCACTGTCTCTCTCAGTCCTCTGTCTCACTGTCTCTCTCAGTCCTCTGTCTCTCTGTCTCTCTCAGTCCCCTGTCTCTCTGTCTCTCTCAGTCCTCTGTCTCTCTGTCTCTCTCAGTCCCCTGTCTCACTGTCTCTCTCAGTCCTCTGTCTCTCTGTCTCTCTCAGTCCCCTGTCTCACTGTCTCTCTCAGTCCTCTGTCTCACTGTCTCTCTCAGTCCTCTGTCTCACTGTCTCTCTCAGTCCTCTGTCTCTCTCAGTCCTCTGTCTCTCTGTCTCTCTCAGTCCCCTGTCTCACTGTCTCTCTCAGTCCTCTGTCTCTCTCAGTCCCCTGTCTCACTGTCTCTCTCAGTCCTCTGTCTCACTGTCTCTCTCAGTCCTCTGTCTCTCTGTCTCTCTCAGTCCCCTGTCTCACTGTCTCTCTCAGTCCCCTGTCTCACTCAGTCCTCTGTCTCACTGTCTCTCTCAGTCCTCTGTCTCACTGTCTCTCTCAGTCCCCTGTCTCTCTGTCTCTCTCAGTCCTCTGTCTCACTGTCTCTCTCAGTCCTCTGTCTCTCTGTCTCTCTCAGTCCCCTGTCTCTCTGTCTCTCTCAGTCCTCTGTCTCTCTGTCTCTCTCAGTCCCCTGTCTCACTGTCTCTCTCAGTCCCCTGTCTCACTGTCTCTCTCAGTCCCCTGTCTCACTGTCTCTCTCAGTCCCCTGTCTTACTGCCTCACCTGTCTCACCTGTACAGGTGCAGCAGAAGGACCTGACGGATGAGGCGATTGCCCGGGCGGTGTGTGTGAAGGTGGGAGACTCACCTGGTGTGTCTTACTCTCACATCGCAGCTAAAGCATACGAGTGTGGCCGCACGGAGCTGGCCATCAAGGTGAGTCATTACACCTTCACACACCTGTGTATTTATATACACAGGTGTACACACAAGTGTACATACTGTGTATTTATATGCACAGTATGTACAAGTGTACATACTGTGTGTATTTATATACACAGTATGTACAAGTGTACATACTGTGTGTATTTATATACACAGTATGTACAAGTGTACATACTGTGTATTTATATGCACAGTATGTACAAGTGTACATATATATATATATTTCAGCTCCTGGACTTTGAGGCCCGCTCTGGAGAACAGGTTCCTCTGCTGCTGAAGATGAAGAGGAGTCAGCTGGCCCTCAGTAAGGCTGTGGAGAGCGGAGACACCGACCTGGGTAAGCCCCGCCCCACCTGAGTGTTAGCCCCGCCTACATCTCAGTGTTAGCCCTGCCCACACCTGTATGTTAGCCCCACCTGAGTGTTAGCCCTGCCCACACCTGTATGTTAGCCCCACCTGAGTGTTAGCCCCGCCCACACCTGAGTGTTAGCCCCGCCCACACCTTAGTGTTAGCCACACCTGAGTGTTAGCCCTGCCCATACCTGTATGTTAGCCACACCTGAGTGTTAGCCCTGCCCACACCTGTATGTTAGCCACACCTGAGTGTTAGCCCTGCCCACACCTGTATGTTAGCCACACCTGTATGTTAGCCACACCCGAGTGTAAACCCCGCCCACACCTGTATGTTAGCCACACCTGAGTGTTAGCCCTGCCCACACCTGTATGTTAGCCACACCCGAGTGTAAACCCTGCCCACACCTGTATGTTAGCCACACCTGTGTAGTAGCCCCGCCCACACCTGTATCTTAGCCACACCTGTATGTTAACCACACCTTAGTGTTAGCCACACCTGAGTGTTAGCCCTGCCCACACCTGTATGTTAGCCACACCCGAGTGTAAACCCCGCCCACACCTGTATGTTAGCCATACCTGAGTGTTAGCCCCGCCCACACCTGTATGTTAGCCACACCTGTGTAGTAGCCCCGCCCTCACCTGTGTCATGTGTCGATGATGTGAGTATGTTTCCCCCCCTAAGTGTACACGGTGGTGACGTACCTGAAGAACGAGATGAACAGAGGAGATTTCTTCATGACCCTGAGGAACCAGCCTGTGGCTCTGAGCCTCTACAGACAGGTACTTCCTGTAGTTTATTACCTGTAGTTTATTACCTGTAGTTTATTCACCTGTAGTTTATTACCTGTAGTTTATTCACCTGTAGTTTATTAACCTGTAGTTTATTACCTGTAGTTTATTCACCGTAGTTTATTACCTGTAGTTTATTACCTGTAGTTTTGTAGTTTATTTACCTGTAGTTTATTACCTGTAGTTTATTCACCTGTAGTTTATTACCTGTAGTTTATTCACCTGTAGTTTATTCACCTGTAGTTTATTACCTGTAGTTTATTCACCTGTAGTTTATTCACCTGTAGTTTATTACCTGTAGTTTATTCACCTGTAGTTTATTCACCTGTAGTTTATTACCTGTAGTTTATTACCTGTAGTTTATTCACCTGTAGTTTATTACCTGTAGTTTATTCACCTGTAGTTTATTACCTGTAGTTTATTCACCTGTAGTTTATTCACCTGTAGTTTATTCACCTGTAGTTTATTCACCTGTAGTTTATTACCTGTAGTTTTTACCTGTAGTTTATTACCTGTAGTTTTGTAGTTTATTCACCTGTAGTTTATTCACCTGTAGTTTATTTACCTGTAGTTTATTACCTGTAGTTTTGTAGTTTATTCACCTGTAGTTTATTTACCTGTAGTGTATTCACCTGTAGTTTATTCACCTGTAGTTTATTCACCTGTAGTTTATTACCTGTAGTTTATTCACCTGTAGTTTATTACCTGTAGTTTATTCACCTGTAGTTTATTACCTGTAGTTTATTACCTGTAGTTTATTCACCTGTAGTTTATTACCTGTAGTTTATTCACCTGTAGTTTATTACCTGTAGTTTATTACCTGTAGTTTATTCACCTGTAGTTTATTCACCTGTAGTTTATTCACCTGTAGTTTATTCACCTGTAGTTTATTACCTGTAGTTTATTCACCTGTAGTTTATTACCTGTAGTTTATTCACCTGTAGTTTATTCACCTGTAGTTTATTACCTGTAGTTTTATTACCTGTAGTTTATTCACCTGTAGTTTATTACCTGTAGTTTTGTAGTTTATTTACCTGTAGTTTATTCACCTGTAGTTTATTACCTGTAGTTTATTCACCTGTAGTTTATTCACCTGTAGTTTATTACCTGTAGTTTATTACCTGTAGTTTATTCACCTGTAGTTTATTACCTGTAGTTTATTCACCTGTAGTTTATTCACCTGTAGTTTATTACCTGTAGTTTATTCACCTGTAGTTTATTCACCTGTAGTTTATTACCTGTAGTTTATTACCTGTAGTTTATTCACCTGTAGTTTATTACCTGTAGTTTATTCACCTGTAATTTATTCACCTGTAATTTATTCACCTGTAGTTTATTCACCTGTAGTTTATTCACCTGTAGTTTATTACCTGTAGTTTATTCGCCTGTAGTTTATTCGCCTGTAGTTTATTACCTGTAGTTTATTACCTGTAGTTTATTCACCTGTAGTTTATTCCCTGTAGTTTATTCCCTGTAGTTTATTCACCTGTAGTTTATTACCTGTAGTTTATTCACCTGTAGTTTATTACCTGTAGTTTATTACCTGTAGTTTATTCACCTATAGTTTATTACCTGTAGTTTATTCACCTGTAGTTTATTACCTGTAGTTTATTACCTGTAGTTTATTCACCTGTAGTTTATTACCTGTAGTTTATTCACCTGTAGTTTATTACCTGTAGTTTATTACCTGTAGTTTATTCACCTGTAGTTTATTACCTGTAGTTTATTACCTGTAGTTTATTCACCTGTAGTTTAATACCTGTAGTTTGTTCACCTATAGTTTATTACCTGTAGTTTATTACCTGTAGTTTATTCACCTGTAGTTTGTTGTTGTTTTCAGTTCTGTAAGCTGCAGGAGCAGGAGACTCTGAAGGACCTGTATAACCAGGACGACGATCACCAGGAACTGGCAAACTACCAAGTTACTGCCAGCTACAGAGAGAAGGTAACACCTGTTCATATCACCTGTCTGTCTCTCACCTGTCTGTCTCTCACCTGTCTGTCTCTCACCTGTCTGTCTCTCACCTGTCTGTCTCTCACCTGTCTGTCTCTCACCTGTCTGTATCTCACCTGTCTGTATCTCACCTCTCTGTCTCTCACCTCTCTGTCTCTCACCTGCCTGTCTGTCTCACCTCTCTGTCTCTCACCTGTCTGTCTCTCACCTGCCTGTCTGTCTCTCACCTGTCTGTCTCTCACCTCTCTGTCTCTCACCTGTCTGTCTCTCACCTGTCTGTCTCTCACCTCTCTGTCTCTCACCTCTCTGTCTCTCACCTGCCTGTCTGTCTCTCACCTGTCTGTCTCTCACCTGTCTGTCTCTCACCTCTCTGTCTCTCACCTGCCTGTCTCTCACCTCTGTCTCACCTCTCTGTCTCTCACCTCTCTGTCTCTCACCTCTCTGTCTCTCACCTGTCTGTCTCTCACCTCTCTGTCTCTCACCTGTCTGTCTCTCACCTGTCTGTCTCTCACCTCTCTGTCTCTCACCTCTCTGTCTCTCACCTCTCTGTCTCACCTGTCTGTCTCTCACCTCTCTGTCTCTCACCTGCCTGTCTCTCACCTCTCTGTCTCTCACCTGCCTGTCTGTCTCACCTGTCTGTCTCACCTGTCTGTCTCTCACCTGTCTGTCTCTCACCTCTCTGTCTCTCACCTGTCTGTCTCTCACCTGTCTGTATCTCACCTGTCTGTATCTCACCTGTCTGTCTCTCACCTCTCTGTCTCTCACCTCTCTGTCTCTCACCTGCCTGTCTGTCTCTCACCTGTCTGTCTCTCACCTCTCTGTCTCTCACCTGCCTGTCTGTCTCACCTGTCTGTCTCTCACCTGTCTGTCTCTCACCTGTCTGTCTCTCACCTCTCTGTCTCTCACCTGTCTGTCTCACCTGCCTGTCTGTCTCACCTGTCTGTCTCTCACCTGTCTGTCTCTCACCTCTCTGTCTCTCACCTCTCTGTCTCACCTCTCTGTCTCTCACCTGCCTGTCTGTCTCACACCTGTCTGTCTCTCACCTCTCTGTCTCTCACCTCTCTGTCTCACCTGTCTGTCTCACCTGCCTGTCTGTCTCACCTGCCTGTCTCACCTGTCTGTATCTCACCTGTCTGTATCTCACCTGTCTGTATCTCACCTGTCTGTATCTCACCTGTCTGTATCTCACCTGTCTTTATCTCACCTGTCTGTTTCTCACCTGTCTGTCTCTCACCTGTCTGTCTCTCACCTCTCTGTCTCTCACCTGCCTGTCTGTCTCACCTGTCTGTCTCACCTGTCTGTCTCTCACCTGTCTGTCTCACCTGTCTGTCTCACCTGTCTGTCTCTCACCTGTCTGTCTCTCACCTGTCTGTCTCTCACCTGTCTGTCTCACCTGTCTGTCTCACCTGTCTGTCTCTCACCTGTCTGTCTCTCACCTGTCTGTCTCACCGTCTGTCTCTCACCTGTCTGTCTCTCACCTGTCTGTCTCTCACCTGTCTGTCTCACCTGTCTGTCTATCACCTGTCTGTCTCACCTGTCTGTCTCACCTGTCTGTCTCACCTGTCTGTCTCTCACCTGTCTGTCTCTCACCTGTCTGTCTCTCACCTGTCTGTCTCTCACCTGTCTGTATCTCACCTGTCTGTCTCACCTGTCTGTCTCACCTGTCTGTCTCACCTGTCTGTCTCACCTGTCTGTCTCTCACCTGTCTGTCTCTCACCTGTCTGTCTCACCTGTCTGTCTCTCACCTGTCTGTATCTCACCTGTCTGTATCTCACCTGTCTGTCTCACCTGTCTGTCTCACCTGTCTGTCTCTACCTGTCTCTCTCTCACCTGTCTGTCTCTCACCTGTCTGTATCTCACCTGTCTGTCTCACCTGTCTGTCTCACCTGTCTGTCTCACCTGTCTGTCTCTCACCTGTCTGTCTCACCTGTCTTGCAGAGGCTGGACAGCCGTCTGTCTCTCCTGCAGAGCGCTGTGGACGAGTACAACAAGGCAAAGAACGAGTTCTCAGCGAAGGTAATCCTCTCTGATGTTAAACTGAAGTCACAGGTAATGCTCTACCTGCTCACACCTCACAGGAAGACCTCCGACACACACTGTGTCACCTCTGGTGTACCCCAAGCGTCAGTCCTTGGGCCAGTGCTCTTTTTAATTTACATGTTGCCCCTGGGACAAATACTGAGGAGCCATAACATCAGCTTCCACACATATGCTGATGACACACAGATTTATTTCCAAACTGCCCCGGATAAACATCTGGCACTTTCAAATGTCTCAAGATGCCTGGAACACATCCACCACTGGATGAGCAACAACTCCCTCCAACTGAACAGCAGCCAATCAGAGGCCATTCTGATTGGATCACCACATCAACAAACTGATATCCCTCATATCAGCATCAATGGCCACTCCATTCCCCTCTCCCCACTTGGTGTGAAACTGGACTCATCCCTTTCATTCCAAGCACACATAAAGACGGTCTGCCAAGCCTCATACTACCACCTGAGGAACATCTCCAAAATGCGACACTCCCTCACCAAACCGGACGCAGAAAAACTGGTCCATGCCTTCATCACCTCCCGCATTGATTACTGCAATTCTCTGCTTGCAGGCCTTCCAGCAAAAACCACTCAGAGACTACAATATGTTCAAAACTGTGCCGCCCGGATACTCACAAAAACACGCAAATCAGAGCACATCACCCCCATCCTTCACTCACTGCACTGGCTCCCTGTAACCCACCGGATCAACTACAAAGTCCTCATAATGGTCTTCAACGCCATCAACCACGCTGGCCCCACCTACCTACAGGACCTGCTCACCAGAAAACATTCACATACCTCACGCACACTCAGGTCAGACAGCTCCAATCTCCTGGCTGTCCCGCGGACAAAACTGGTCACCATGGGAAACCGTGCTTTCTCCTCCCTGGGTCCACGTCTGTGGAACCAGCTTCCAGAGAACATACAGACCTCAGCATCACTCTCAGTTTTTAGGAAATGCCTCAAGACCCACCTGTTCCACACCGCATTTTACTGACTGTCCTTTACTTTATTTATTTATTTATTTTTAAACCTTCTATGCTCTTAACCTTTTATTTAATTTTTTATATTGCCATATTTGATCCAATATGCTCCTTTAGATATCTTTGAACTTATTGTTCCTTATAGCTTTGTGAAGCACCTTGAGATGACGTTGTCTTTAAAGTGTGCTATATAAATCAAATGTATTATTACCTGTCGGACAGGTAACGCCTCACCTGTGAAGACCTGGATCTAACATGATCTAACATATTTTTTGTTTCAGGCCACAGAGGACGAGATGCGTCTGCTGAGATTCCAACGCAAACTGGACGACGAGAAAGGGGCGGGGCTTCTGGGACTTTCTCTACAGGTAAAGGGGGCGTGCCACATGTATAAAGTGGCGGGGCTGTTGTTAAATAAAGGGGCGGGGTTAACCGTCTCCTTGGTTTCCAGGCCACCATGGAGGCTCTGCTGGCTCTGGGTCTCCACAAACAGGCGGAGCAGCTCTACAGAGACTTCAGAGTTCCTGACAAGAGGTGAGACGGCTAACTGTGCTGTGATTGGCTGACTGCATGAGGCTGTTCTCACACTAACCGCTTCCTGAGCTGTGATTGGCTGACGTGTCCCCCTGTCTCTCAGGTATTGGTGGCTGAAGCTGAAGTCTTTGGCGGAGAAAGAGGAGTGGGAGGAGCTAGAGAAGTTCTCCAAGAGCAAGAAGTCTCCTATTGGCTACTTGGTGAGAGGAAGCCCTGCCCAGCCTGTCAATCCTCGAAATACTCAGCTCAAGTAGCTATTCTTTGTCATATCATAGCCTCATCATATCATCATAATATCGTGACATCATAATATCATGTCATCATTGACATCATAATATCGTGACATCATAATATCATAATATCGTGACATCATAATATCGTCACATCATAATATCGTCACATCATAATATCATAATATCGTGACATCATAATATCGTGACATCATAATATCATAATATCGTGACATCATAATATCGTCACATCGTAATATATTGACATCATTATAATAATGTCATCATATCGTGACTGGGCTGCCAGCTGCAACTAATTTGTAGGCCGGACAGAGCGAACGCTGGCGCACTTAGCTGCCGCTGCTCTCCAGCTATTTTTAGTTTTAGTTGTATGTAATGCAACTGTTATCGCTCACTTTGATGACTTTGGCCATTATAATATGATCTGGATGTATCTGCCCAACGATCGAATTAACTAACATCTACCCTACCTGTGTGTCGGGGCCACCACCCCTCACCTGGCTGCTTCCGCGGCGTGAGGCCCATCCTCTAGCCAAACATCACTGACAACTATGTGGATCAACGAGCTGTTTGTGTGGTCTGTGCTCATCTGGACTGCCCTGTCGTTCAACCTAGCGACTGCAGCACTCCAATACACAGCTGCTGAGCTCCTCCGACTACGATTCCACCTGCCCGACACATCACCGGCATTGCACCTCTTTCTGGACATCGCTCGTCATCCCCGTCGGAAATATATCCACCGTGGTTCCCGGCGAAGATTTTACATCGATGACTCCAAACCCATACAATCCATCTGGTCTTCAATTCGACAACACCCAAGAAATTGGACCACACTGTCTTAGCCAGCTTAGCCAGGTCGGCTAACGTTAGCGCTAAACATAAACACGGCCACACTGATGTCAACTTTGGACTATTTAACATCCGTTCTCTTACGACCGAGGGTCCTCTTCTCCAAGATCTCCTGACTGATCGTAAGTTTGATTTTCTCTGTTTGACAGAAACGTGGCAACAACCTAATGACTTTCCACAGCTGAATGAATCGACTCCTCCTGGGTTTGTTTACATCTGTCAACCCCGTGCCACCGGCAGAGGGGGAGGTCTCTAGTTTGAAAGTCTCGTCTGTATCTGTGCCTGTTCACGGCTCATTTGAATCGCCTTACAACTCAATGGGCCTATCCCTACCATAGTTGCAAGCGTCTACCGTCCACCTAAGCTTAATAATAATTTCATAAACGAATTTGCTGCTTTCATCACACATCTCTGCTCACTCTCACCTAACATAATAGAGCTGGGAGATTTGAATATACATATGGATACTGTCAACAATGCTCTCACAAAGGACTTCACATCTTGCCTGGACAGTTTTGGATTACAGCAACATATCGATTTTCCGACTCATTCCAAAGGACATGTTCTGGACTTGATCTGCTGTTCTGGTGTCTGGCTCTTAAATGTACTGCAACTGATCTTCCAATTTCTGATCACTCATTAATATCCTTTACTGTCACCTTAACACTGTCCAAACCAAATCTGTCACGTGTTATTTCCTTCCGCAACATCAAGGATATTCATTTAACTACACTCTCCGGTGGCATTGACAACCTCCCCAGCATACATTGTTCATCCCCGCCTGATGAACTGGTTTCTCATTACAATAACAATCTTCATAAACTGCTCAATACCATGGCTCCTTTAAAAACCCGGTCTGTTCCCTTCACCCATTCTGCTCCTTGGTTTACACCTGAACTACGCCAACTCAAAACAAAAGGCCGTCGATTGGAACGCCTCTGCAAAAAAACTGGACTTGTCGTTCACAAAGAAATGTACAATAACCACATTCTCCACTACAAGGACACTCTCTACAGCCAAATCATCCTATTACGCAGTTCTCATCAGCTCTGGCGAAGGGAACACAAGGGTCCTGTTCTCTACAGTGAAGAACATTCTACGACCACCGGACTCTCTTGCACCTCATCAGTATTCTGCTACTGTAACTCCCTCATGTCATTTTTTAATGACAAAATAGAAAACATTCACCAGCAACTAACTCCTAACACCACCTGTTTTCACCGACCCTCTCTCTCTCATTCTCTTTCAAGTTTCACACTTCCCTCTGCTGTTGTAATATCTGACCTCATCCGTAAATCCAAGCCATCTACCTGTCAGTTAGACCCTCTTCCTACCCCCCTGGTAAAAGCCTGTCTACCTTCATTGTCCGCCCTTATAACTGTCATCATACACTCCTCCCTCACCTCTGGTCTTGTTCCCTCACTTTTCAAATCAGCCGCCATCACGCCCATAATGAAGAAACCTGGTGCAGACCCCAACAACTTTAATAACTTTTAATATCTAACCTACCATTTCTCTCAAAAGAACTGTTGCATCCCAGATCCATACCCACTTGTCTGACAATAACCTGTACGAACAATTTCAATCTGGTTTCCGCCCCCATCACAGCACAGAAACAGCACTGGTGAAAATCACTAACGACCTCCTCATGGCCGCTGACTCCGGACTATTAACTATCCTCATCCTCCTTGATCTTAGTGCAGCTTTTGACACCATTTCCCACAGCATCCTCATTGACAGACTGACCTCCATCGGGATCACTGACACACCCCTCCTCTGGTTTAAATCATATCTCTCTGGCCGCACTCAGTTCATCCAACTCAAAACCTTCAAATCACAGCCACTTCCATTTACTTCCTCTTGGCAATATCTTCCGTAAACACAACATCCACTTTCATTGCTACGCGGATGACACCCAGCTCTACTTGTCCTCCAAACCAACCACCATCCTCCCTCCATCCTCCCTGTCTGACTGCTTACAGGACATCAAATCCTGGTTTTCCTCTAACTTTCTCAAACTTAACGACAATAAAACAGAGGTTCTCCTCATTGGCACAAAATCCACCCTAACCAAACCTGACAGTTTCTCCATTACAATAGACAACTCTTCAGTCTCCCCCTCCCCTCAGGTTAAGAGTCTGGGTGTCATCCTCGACGGCACACTTTCATTCAAATCTCACATCAGTAATAGCACTCGGTCTGCCTATTTCCATCTACGCAACATCAACCGCCTCCGCCCGTCCCTTAACCCTAAGACCACCGCCATTCTTGTTCACACCCTGGTCACTTCCCGCATCGACTACTGCAACTCCCTTCTCTTTGGTCTCCCTCTCAAATCCATCCACAGACTTCAACTGGTCCAGAACCCTGCCGCCCGCATCATCACCAGAACCCCCTCCATTAACCACATCACTCCTGTTCTTCAGCAACTTCACTGGCTCCCCGTCAAATCCCGTATAGTTTTTAAGATTCTGCTCCTCGCCTTTAAGGCCATCCATAACCTCACTCCTCTGTACATCTCCGACCTCCTGCACATCAACACACTCAGGTCTTATGCTTCCCTCCACCTCACTGCACGCCCCTTCCGTTTAACCACCATGGGGTCCAGAGCCTTCAGCCGCTCTGCACCCCGCCTCTGGAACTCCCTCCCACCTGACATCCGCAACACTGACTCTCTCCCCATTTTCAAATCACGCCTCAAAACATATCTCTTCACACTCGCATATCCACCCTGATCATTATCCATCACACATCCTCTGTTTTTTATTTATTTGGTTATTTGATTGATTTATATACTGCATTGTCTTGTTTATGTTTCTTATGCTGGTGTTATCTATTGTGTATCTTGTTTTTTATGTATTTGTACGGCGACCTTGAGAGCCTTGAAAGGCGCCTATATAAAATAAATGTATTATTATTATAATATCCTGACTTCATAATATGACATCATAATATCCTGACTTCATAATATCATGACATCATGTCATCATAATATCGTGACATCATTATATCATGACATCATAATATCATGATATCGTGACATCATAATATCATGTCATCATAATATCGTGACATTATATCATGACATCATAATATGTCATCAGTGACATCATAATATCATGATATCGTGACATCATAATATCATGTCATCATAATATCGTGACATCATTATATCATGTCATCATAATGTCATCAGTGACATCATAATATCATGATATCATGTCATCATAATATGTCATCAGTGACATCATAATATCATGATATCATGTCATCATAATATGTCATCAGTGACATCATAATATCATGATATCATGTCATCATAATATCATGTCATCAGTGACATAATATTGTGACATCATAATATCGTGATATAATATAATATATTGACATCATAATATCATCATATCGTGACATAATATCATGTCATCATATCGTGACATATCATGACATCACAATATGATCACATCATAATATCATGACATAATATCATAATATCATGTCATAATATCGTGACATAATTTGATATCATTATGATGTCCTATTGTGACATAATATCATGACATCACAATATGATCACATCATAATATCATGACATAATATCATAATATCATGTCATATAATATCGTGACATCATAATTTGATATCATTGTTGTCATATCGTCTTCTGAATATCATAAGATCGTGTCATAATACCATCATATTGTGATGTCATCACATAGTGATATTGTAATATATGGTGATATTGTAATATATGGTGATATTGTAATATATAGTGATATTGTAATATATGGTGATATTGTAATATATAGTGATATTGTAATATATAGTGATATTGTAATATATGGTGATAATGGACGCTCTGTGTTTCTCAGGCGTTTGTGGACGTCTGCATGAAGAGCAACAACAGGTTTGAAGCCAAGAAGTACGTCTCCAAGGTAATGCCGGAGCAGAGGGTCAGAGCACACCTGGCCGTCAGGTAAGACTGTCACCGTCAGTGAGGTCATCAGTGAGGTCATCAGTGACATCATCAGTGACTCTTCTTCTCTTCTCCTCAGCGACCTGGAGGGAGCGGCGGACGCTGCCATCGAGAGAAAGAACGAGTCAGAGATGGCGTTGGTTCTTTCTCGAAGCTCCGCCTCCGACCGGCTGCTCATCGACCGGCTGAACCGCGCCGCCACCGTCGCCAAAAAGTGATCCTCCATCAGACAGACAGCTGACGTCTGCTGCCATAAAGTGATCCTCCATCAGACAGACAGCAGACCGTCTGCTGCCATAAAGTGATCCTCCATCAGACAGACAGCAGACTGTCTGCTGCCATAAAGTGATCCTCCATCAGACAGACAGCAGACCGTCTGCTGCCATAAAGTGATCCTCCATCAGACAGACAGCAGACCGCCTGCTGCCATAAAGTGATCCTCCATCAGACAGACAGCAGACCGTCGGCTGCCATAAAGTGATCCTCCATCAGACAGACAGCAGACCGTCGGCTGCCATAAAGTGATCCTCCATCAGACAGATGGATGACCCTTCTGACCCTAACCCTAAATAGTGATGGCAGTACTTTGACTTCAGACGCAGCGTGAATATTAAAGAGAAGAAGAAGAAGAAGAGAGGAACAGGAAGTGGTTCTTCTTCTGTGTTTCTGTCCGAGAACCAACCGGATGTTTTATTGTGATTTTTTCTTTTTTTACATTTATTTGTGATATTCTGCCTCAGTGTAAAAAATAAATAAAATTACTAACATTTCTTTGTTGGTTTCATTTCTTTGTATTTCAGACACATTAAGAAATAAACAGAAGGTTTCTCAATTCTCTCATTTCCCCTCCTCGACTCCTCGCTCCTCCGGTAGTAACCCTCCTCGACTCCTCGCTCCTCCGGTAGTAACCCTCCTCGACTCCTCGGTCCTCCGGTAGTAACCCTCCTCGACTCCTCGCTCCTCCGGTAGTAACCCTCCTCGACTCCTCGGTCCTCCGGTAGTAACCCTCCTCGACTCCTCGGTCCTTCGGTAGTAACCCTCCTCGACTCCTCGCTCCTCCGGTAGTAACCCTCCTCGACTCCTCGCTCCTCCGGTAGTAACCCTCCTCGACTCCTCGCTCCTCCGGTAGTAACCCCGAAATGAATTTCAGCGCGCCATGTTACAACCCGGCTCCTGGGCTGCAACAACAAGCAGGGAGACGAGGGGTCTCACAATAGTTTATCCTCCTCGACTCCTCTCTCCTCGGCTCCTCTCCTCGACTCCTCTCTCCTCGGCTCCTCTCTCCTCGACTCCCCTCCTCGACTCCTCTCTCCTCGGCTCCCTTCCTCGACTCCTCTCTCCTCGGCTCCTCTCTCCTCGACTCCTCTCCTCGACTCCTCTCTCCTCGGTTCCCCTCCTCGACTCCTCTCTCCTCGGCTCCCCTCCTCGACTCCTCTCTCCGCGGCTCCCCTCCTCGACTCCTCTCTCCTCGGCTCCCCTCCTCGACTCCTCTCTCCTCGGCTCCCCTCCTCGACTCCTCTCTCCTCGGCTCCCCTCCTCGACTCCTCTCTCCTCGGCTCCTCTCCTCGACTCCTCTCTCCTCGGCTCCCCTCCTCGACTCCTCTCTCCTCGGTTCCCCTCCTCGGCTCCTCTCTCCTCGGCTCCCCTCCTCGGCTCCTCTCTCCTCGGTTCCCCTCCTCCACTCCTCTCTCCTCGGCTCCTCTCTCCTCGGTTCCCCTCCTCGGCTCCTCTCTCCCTCGGCTCCCCTCCTCGACTCCTCTCTCCTCGGTTCCCCTCCTCGGCTCCTCTCTCCTCGGCTCCCCTCCTCGGCTCCTCTCTCCTCGGCTCCCCTCCTCGACTCCTCTCTCCTCGGCTCCCCTCCTCGACTCCTCTCTCCTCGGCTCCCCTCCTCGACTCCTCTCTCCTCGGCTCCTCTCTCCTCGGCTCCTCTCTCCTCGGCTCCTCTCTCCTCGGCTCCCCTCCTCGACTCCTCTCTCCTCGGCTCCCCTCCTCGGCTCCTCTCTCCTCGGTTCCCCTCCTCGGCTCCCCTCCTCCGCTCGCATCTCCTGTGGGCGGGACCTCAGCCTCGTCTCAATACCCCTCCTCGACTCCTCCTTTCCCTCACTCGCGTCCCTTCCTTGCGTCTTAGCTCCGCCTCCGTAAGATGCGAGCGAGAGACACGAGGAGGAGACGCGAGGACAGAGGAGTCCTCAGGTATTAATTGGGATGTCCTCGTTCACTCAAACGTCACTCTTAAACGACGTCTGTTAATGATGACATGTGCACAGCTGTATCCCCTCTCATTGGGTTTAACTGAATAACCTTTAGAACCTTTAGAACCGGCCCATTTGTTGTTAAATATGTATTTAAATGAATGAATCTTTCTCTTTTTAGTCAAGGAATTCAATGTATGATGGTTGGTCCTGCTTTTGTGTTCCGTTTTGGTGTAAAATGTACATTTCAATAACATTATATTTATAATAATGTGAAAGCCTTTACTCTGAACATGTGTGTCCTGTAGATCCCCACATTCACCACAAACCCACATTCAGGACTGTGCATTTTAAATAATTTAACTACTCAATATTTTAACACAAAACAAAACAAATAATTGTTATTTATCAAGATCTAGCCATCTAGCTTTCTTAATAGCTATGTTTTAGTGACGTTCAAGATCATTAAACATGACTTAAATTGTTAGTATAACCTTAAGAAATGAATTGCACATAATAATTCCCACGGAGCTGTGAGCACTGAGACATTTATGTGACGCTTTTCCACTCATCTTCCAGTTCTCCGTTTTCCTCTCTTGAAATGGACCAGCTGTGAAGGTGGGGGCGGGGCCAGCTGTGAAGGTGGGGGCGGGGCTTTGATACGCGAGTAGTGAAAACACTTCCGCGTAGTCTGCTCTCGTGTATCCTCCCTTTCGTCTCCTCCCGCACCCCTCCTCCCTCACCCCTCCTCGACTCCTCCGTGTGCATTTCAGCTATTGGGACGTCCTTCAACATGGCGTGTCTTGATCGATTTCCGGGTCAAGTCCCAGAGGAGGGGAAGAGAGGAGTCGGGGAGGGGTATTGGGATAAGGCTCAAGTCTCGAGGATAGGAGTCGAGGAGGGGAATTAGAGAAATGAGAAAGCTTTAATGTCTAGCATGGAGAGCTTTTATTTTGGTGGGGAGGTACTTCCTGTCTGGTCAGGGGCGTGTTCATGTGGGTCAGCTGGTTGTGGGGGGCGGAGCTACAAGTACATTCGGGAGTTTGTTCAACGTGTGTGTTCCTGCAGCAGGTGAGTGTGTGTAGAGTGTGTGTTCCAGCAGCTCTGTGTGTGTGTGTGTGTGTGTGTGTGTGTGTGTGTGTGTGTGTGTGTGTGTGTGTGTGTGTGTGTGTGTGTGTGTGTGTGTGTGTGTGTGTGTGTGTGTGTGTGTGTGTGTGTGTGTGTGTGTGTGTGTGTGTGTGTGTGTGTGTTTTAGCTCCACAGACAGACCGGTTGCTAATCTGGATTTTATTCTCTTGAAGTTTTACGGTGTTTTGTTAAATATGAGCCGAACGTCTTTCCTCTCAGAAACGGGGTAGTTTTACTCCAGCAGTGAGTCAAGAGCCCATGAGCAAGGCAGCAGCAGAAAGAGTGTGGTGTTGAAGTGCTGAGTCTCTTTAGTGACTCTTTAAATGACCCAGTCTAAAGTCTCTTTAGTGACTCTTTAAATGACCGTAGCCTCATCCCAATACCCCTCCTCGACTCCTCTCTTCCCCTCCTCCGGGACTTGACCCGGAAATCGATCAAGACACGCCATGTTGAAGGACGTCCCAATAGCTGAAATGCACACGGAGGAGTCGAGGAGGGGTGCGGGAGGAGACGAAAGGGAGGATACACGAGAGCAGACTACGCGGAAGTGTTTTCACTACTCGCGTATCAAAGCCCCGCCCCCACCTTCACAGCTGGTCCATTTCAAGAGAGGAAAACGGAGAACTGGAAGATGAGTGGAAAAGCGTCACATAAATGTCTAAGTGCTCACAGCTCCGTGGGAATTATTATGTGCAATTCATTTCTTAAGGTTATACTAACAATTTAAGTCATGTTTAATGATCTTGAACGTCACTAAAACATAGCTATTAAGAAAGCTATTTCATAAATGGCTAGATCTTGATAAATAACAATTATTTGTTTTGTTTTGAGTTAAAATATTGAGTAGTTAAATTATTTAAAATGCACAGTCCTGAATGTGTGTTTGTGGTGAATGTGGGGATCTACAGGACACACATTTTCAGAGTAAAGGCTTTCACATTATTATAAATATAATGTTATTGAAATGTACATTTTACACCAAAACGGAACACAAAAGCAGGACCAACCATCATACATTGAATTCCTTGACTAAAAAGAGAAAGATTCATCATTTAAATACATATTTAACAACAAATGGGCCGGTTCTAAAGGTTCTAAAGGTTCTAAAGGTTATTCAGTTAAACCCAATGAGAGGGGATACAGCTGTGCACATGTCATCATTAACAGACGTCGTTTAAGAGTGACGTTTGAGTGAACGAGGACATCCCAATTAATACCTGAGGACTCCTCTGTCCTCGCGTCTCCTCCTCGTGTCACCTCCTCGCGTCTCCTCCTCGTGTCTCTCGCTCGCATCTTACGGAGGCGGAGCTAAGACGCAAGGAAGGGACGCGAGTGAGGGAAAGGAGGAGTCGAGGAGGGGTATTGAGACGAGGCTGAGGTCCCGCCCACAGGAGATGCGAGCGGAGGAGGGGAGCCGAGGAGGGTTAGGGTTAGAGATGAGGCTCCAGTCTAAAGTCTCTTTAGTGACTCTTTAAATGACCCAGTCTAAAGTCTCTTTAGTGACTCTTTAAATGACCCAGTCTAAAGTCTCTTTAGTGACTCTTAAATGACCCAGTCTATAGTCTCTTTAGTGACTCTTTAATGACCCAGTCTATAGTCTCTTTAGTGACTCTTTAAATGACCCAGTCTATAGTCTCTTTAGTGACTCTTTAAATGACCCAGTCTATAGTCTCTTTAGTGACTCTTTAAATGACCCAGTCTATAGTCTCTTTAGTGACTCTTTAAATGACCCAGTCTATAGTCTCTTTAGTGACTCTTTAAATGACCCAGTCTATAGTCTCTTTAGTGACTCTTTAAATGACCCAGTCTATAGTCTCTTTAGTGACTCTTTAAATGACCCAGTCTATAGTCTCTTTAGTGACTCTTTAAATGACCCAGTCTATAGTCTCTTTAGTGACTCTTTAAATGACCCAGTCTATAGTCTCTTTAGTGACTCTTTAAATGACCCAGTCTATAGTCTCTTTAGTGACTCTTTAAATGACCCCAGTCTAAAGTCTCTTTAGTGACTCTTTAAATGACCCAGTCTAAAGTCTCTTTAGTGACTCTTTAAATGACCCAGTCTAAAGTCTCTTTAGTGACTCTTTAAATGACCCAGTCTATAGTCTCTTAGTGACTCTTTAAATGACCCAGTCTAAAGTCTCTTTAGTGACTCTTTAAATGACCCAGTCTATAGTCTCTTTAGTGACTCTTTAAATGACCCAGTCTATAGTCTCTTTAGTGACTCTTTAAATGACCCAGTCTATAGTCTCTTTAGTGACTCTTTAAATGACCCAGTCTATAGTCTCTTTAGTGACTCTTTAAATGACCCAATCTAAAGTCTCTTTAGTGACTCTTTAAATGACCCAGTCTATAGTCTCTTTAGTGACTCTTTAAATGACCCAGTCTATAGTCTCTTTAGTGACTCTTTAAATGACCCAGTCTATAGTCTCTTTAGTGACTCTTTAAATGAC